CCCTGGTTGGTTTTTTTTTTTGCAGGCTGAGAGTAGCCTAGGGAAGAAAAGGCTGAGGGTGAGACATTCATAGGCTGCTGAGGTAGCTCCTAGATTGTGATTTAAGAGTGAAATAAAGATGTGCAGTAATATAGAGTGATTTCTCTTTGTTCTGATAGTAAATCTGCTTTCTTAGGAAGGAGATGCAAGACGTCTTGCTTTCTGTTTGCTGGAGCCTGTCCATATTTAGGTGCCTTGAGTATGGAAGAAAACTGTTTCTGCAAATGCACATCTCTCCTCCTGTCATTTCCATCTCAGCCATTAGCAATGCTGCATAAATCCTACAATACTTAGGTATACGGCTAACCGAAATGGTCTTGGAAAGCATCTCTAGGATAAATACAGAAAGCTTCAGGCAAGCATGCCACATAGTTTTTACTTCATGAAATGAGACAGGCCTGGGGTTTTTCTCCCTGCCAGTTCTACCACAGTGAGCCTTCTTTTTTCTTTGAAAGGGATGCATATGCTGTTGTAAAACTGTGTTACTGTGTTAACCAGTCAGGATGAACACTGCAGATTTGCAACATTAACATCACCAGAACAGTGTCACAGAAAACATCATGGGCTTTTAGAATATAGTTTGCAAGTACAAATTCAGTTCTGCAGTTTTCAGGCTGCCTCTGAAAGCAAAACCGGATGCACAGATTGAAGCTCACTCTTATTTCTTACTTGCTTGCTTGTACCAGCAACATGAGACGAGATACATCTCATCTGCTAGGCTACAAAGCCTCTGTTTTTCACATCTCTATGTGGTCTGATACTTCTGAAGTTCTTAGCACTGCAGATAAATTATGGCACTTATTTAAGAGTTTGAATATGCAATTAAGCATCTAATTTTAAACTTGCACGCTCAATAATATTGGACTTTGCTACAGAATTATTTCCTTTTTATGGTGTCTGCCAACTGCTGAAGTATGCATTAGTATATTTGACATATTAATGCAGTAATGGAGATACCTGGGCAACTGGCAGACAAATAATCACAAAAGAGATATCCAAGGTGAAATCATAGACTGTAATGAACAAGGGAAAACTGTTTGCCTTTATGATTTACTGATGAGTAAAATCCTTATCTCCCACCCAACCTGAAATATCAGACCCAGCTGCAGAAGCCCCGCTAGCCTGATAAGCCAGCAACCCCTGCCATCAGCTGCCACATGCATTGTTTTCTTCTTTCTTCTTGATGTTTGTTCTTCCTTTTCTCAAAGTCTTTTTGACAGCATCACAGTATGCTCCTATAACTCTAGATAAGCATATTCTGACCGGTCAGTAAATGAAACACTTAGCTATTAGCAATCCACTGTAGCATTATGAGATCTGGGCCTTTCCCAGTTACTGAATGGAGCTCTCCTTGTCTTCTGGCCAGTCTGTAGCCATGAAGCTAGTTGTGTACACACTGAGTGGCTGTGAGCATTCCTCAGGTACTGCAGCTGGTCTCTGCTTTACAGTGTCGCTTACCTGTCACTCATTTGCCACGTTCTGTGCACTAGGAGCCGATTGAGATGCCATTTGGATGTAGCCATAGCCCTTATTCCCAGCAGGGAGGCTCGTTACTAAATCAGAAGTGGTATTCTCGGTTCCATCAGATGCACGAGTGTCATCCACTTTGTACTGATCTGTTGAACAGCAAACATGTAATGTAAGGGACAATCTAAACACTAGGAGACAGGCTTTTACAGCACAGAAGCCATCTCAGTATTTAACATGCTGAAAAGACAAGCTAATAATGAAAGACTTGTCTAGCTGTCTCTGTTCCTTTGACACCTAAGGTATTTTATAGGTACTGTCGGCCAGCGTGAACTTTAAATCAATTTATTGCATGTGTTTACATCAGCAATAAAACTGTTTGCCATATCATTTAACTACACAGAGAGTGAATTGTTGACCATGAGCTGGTCTGACCTTTTCAGATCTAATCAAGAAATCTGAAATATTATTTCAGCCTGTCAGCTCCAGTAATATGCGGTAAGAGTATCTGGATCTAACTGAAAATGTCAGGGGCACTCTAATATGCAACCCATCAAAGTTACGCTGCATATGAACCAAGAACTGGTAAAGAATATAAATCTGAGAAAGCCATGGTGCATCTCAGTTGCTTAGACAAATTGGTCTGCCATTGACGCAGGCGAGCTACAACACACATTAAAAGCAGTTCTTTGAGATACAAGCAAGATGTACGGCTGTTTCAATATTAAAGTGTTCTTGAAAGACAGAGAGTAATCACAGGTTAGAGTTTTGCTGGAGGAAAGTTAACTGAGAATACCACCACTGCTGTGGTCCACGTCTGAATAGTTGCACTGTGCAGTTGTGTAGGTTTAGTGGTCTCATGTAACTTTGGCATTTTCTTTTTTAATAACTTGCTGCTTGCAAAGTTTTTACCATTTTCAGAAATAATCGCTGCCTGTGCTGAGGTGTTCTGACTAATCTCATTTGTGCTGAAGTTAGTTATCTGTTACACTGCCCTACTGAAGTTATCTGGCTGTTTTTAAAGCTCACTCAGAACCCACGCTGTTGTTCTTAGGTGTTTAATGACGTTACATTTCTCTGTTTTCTTCATCTCCCAAGTTTCCTTTGATGGTGTTGTGCCGGCAACTCAGAGAGAGGATAAATCTGTCTTTAATAGCTGTTTATTAAGCATGAGACCAATTATTCATTGATATAATTTATGGATAATGAATTTAAATTTGGGTTAATGAGCATGGGCACAACAGGAAGCATCTTTGTATTGCAAGAAAAGGGCATTTTGTGAGCTAAATGGCCTATCAAGATTGTATAATCTGAAAGCAGTTGCTGCACTAAAATTGAGTTGGTTTTTAATCTAATCATGTATAGTTTGTGTAATTTAAGGCATTATTAACCGAATTGCTGCTATTAGTGAAATGTGGTTGGAATGGAACTAGAATGAGAGTGAACTGTCAGAAGCATTGCTGAGCCGGTAACTTTGTATTTTAGACTATCCTGTTAATGCCAGCAGAACTGTTCTTGTGAGGCAATGCTGCCCTCACCTGGTATCTGAAATGAATTGGGAATTGTTAGCCCGGCCCAAGCCAGCTGTAGTGCATCAAATCTATCAGGTCTCCCCTGAGCCTCCTCTTCTCCAGACTGAACGATCCCAGTTCTCTCGGTCACTCCCCATAAAATTTGTGCTCCAGATATTGCTAAGCTGGAAAAAAATGGTGAAAGAAATTAAAATTCTTAAAATACCATTTTGGTTTTTTTTTTTCCATTAAAAAGACAAAAAGATTGTACAGTTTTGTGGTTCTTTTAGGAGTACATGGTGTAGAAGTGGATGAAAATAGGAATATTATATGGTAATATACTGTGAATGCCCAAGACAACAAATTGAAGGCTGATTTTTGTTTGGCAATTTGGAAGATGAACTGAAGACAAAGTAAATAGGTGTCAGCTGCTAAAAGTTAGCAGGACAGATTGTAGTAAACTCTTGTTTAACGGGATAGTTTTATCTTGTATGTAATGTTTAGAAATGTATCGTTATGAATACATGCAGAATTCTGCAATTGCAGAGTAAATGGTACCACGGCCAACAAGTTGCATGGGAATGGGGCCAGCACTGATGCAGATGGAGCTATGGCAGAACTGCCCTCCCAAGGGCTACAAGGATATCACTTTGGCTCAGGAAGGCTCTCCACAACAGGTTCCTGAAAGCCTGGGAGACAGACCATGGAAATGCTACTGCCGTGTCATCTATTCTTATGTACTTTTTCAGGCATCTGTCACTAACCACTGCCAGAGACAAGATATTGACATAGAAGGTTTCCTAGTCTGTTTTGCTCTGGATGTTGTCTGTTTAATAAGTGCTGTTTTCTTCAATTTTGTCTTCCTCTCATTTATCTCTGCTAGGCAATTTCACCATAGTCCAGATAGCAAAAAGAGGTGAGCCTTATTTCAAACAAGAGGATTTTAGTTCCCAAAACAGATTGCAGTAAAATGCTTTTAAATGTATAAATATATGAAAGGTTTAAAATAAAAAAATTATTTAATATTTCATAATCTCTGGAGACCTTGTAAAACACACAGCTTTTCTCCCCTTGGCAAATCTCTTTGTCATCCATTTGGCTTCTGATTTGTTTGCATCTCCCTTAATGCACTGGAGATCAGCTAACCCTAGAGGAAACAGAAGATTGCATGTTAAAATCCCCGGCTGATGTATTTTGTTTGAGTCAGACGTGAACAGATTGCCAGGTTCAGGATCAAGAGGAAAGGTTCTTTTCCCCATACTGATGGATTAGGATTTCTGCTTCTTATGGCCGATCATTTTGGAAATGCTTCAAGAACTGTGGCATACAATAATATACCCAACCTGGTCCAGCAGAGCATTACAGGTGGCTGTTGATATTGTACTGCTCCCTCTATTATAAGGTCCTGAGACTTGTTTTACATCTGTAGTGCTTGACACTCCACAGAGTTTCTGTTTTATGAACCATTTTGACCTAGACCCCAAGTGCTTGGTTACCCATGATTGTAGCAGGTGGGACCTGAAGGTCCCAGCAGTCCTTCATAGGCTTCTTGCTGACTGCAGAGTAATGCATGTAAGCTAGCAGGCTAGAATTCAAACACAGTTATCTATGATGTTTTCTCTGTTTTTTAAATATTATTTAAAATGAGCAATACTTTTGAGATCTAGCTGTAAAACCACCACAGGTATGGTCTCATAATAGAGAAAGGTGGGCTAAGTCAAGACTGAGATGCATCGTTTCTGCCCTTCTTTTTGCAACCTCCTGCTGCAGCAAAACCAGTTTTATTTGTTCTTCCTTTTTGTTAGATTAGTATTACGTGTAGTTTCGTGAGATTACTGTTGTATGTAGTTAGATCAGTACAGCACCCCAGCTCGGCTCATGAGATGACTATGTGGTTGGCAGTGGTGGTGTTCTTTGACCTAGCACAAATATAAGAAGTCTAAGACTGTGTAACTGATTTCTTTCTTCTCCATAATTTTGCAGATATTAGGGCTGCTGGTGTGGACTCTGATCGCTGGAACAGAATACTTCCTATATCCAGCCTTTGGCTGGGTGATGTTTGTAGCTGTGTTTTACTGGGTCCTCACTGTCTTCTTTCTGATCATCTACATGACCATGACCTACACCAGGATCCCCCAGGTGCCATGGACCACAGTGGTAAATACATCTGCTCATTGTTGTTTTGGATTTGCTGGGTTGTGAAGAGATTAAAATACTGATGCATTCTACAGCTGCAGTTACCCAATCGTACTGGTGCTTTTTGCAGTTGTTTCCCCTAATTTCTGTCTCTGCATCCCTGCAGTGTTTAACCTTCATTCTACTCAGACAGTGCTACCCTTTTAAAGTACTTTTCTTGTGATGTTTCACTGTTTTGTTCATCGATCAATTTAGTGACTTGATTTTTAATAATGTGTGTGTGACTCATATTTATGCACAGTGGCCCATTTTTCACCCTTTAGTGATTACATCCCATGAAGAATGAATCTGTCGCTGCATTTGAGCTAACAGATTTAGTTGTATGGCTTAAACAGTGGGAATCCCTGCAGGAATCAACACCATGAGTTGGAAATGGTACCATGGATCTTAAAGCATGAGTCTTCCTCTGCTAAATAAGATAAAATGTTGCTCAGAGAGGAAGCAACAGTCTCACTAGCCACATACAGCTAGAGTGAAAATGGTGCTGCAAATTATTAGTGTTATGTGTATGTAAAATACCTGCCATGTAATCCTTTGCTTTTAGCTCAAGACTAAATGAAAATTAGGTGAACAACTAATGTAATTGGAGAAAAAATTCACAGGTATTTGAAATTCAGGTCTAAGTTTTGTTATTTAAAGAAATCCTGCTAGTTATACAAATGAGTGTTATATATGTGTGTGATTTTCATAACATGCTGATTTTCAAGAGAATAGATGCTAGATGTCATTGTCACATAAGCCAACTGGCTATTTGTAACCCATACAGCAAATAACATAAATTTGGTTTTGCATTTGTTTGATCCAGTGAAATACTGCTTTTCTCTCTTTTTCTACTAGATAAGGGCTATTAGTGAGAATTCTGCTGTTTTTATGATAAAATATATTTGACTTCTGTGTTGCAAACAGTGTATGTGACTAAAATTGAATGCACTTTTCACCTTCCCTTTTGTTGCTGTAATAAATAGCTAGCTATAGCAATTACTAATAACAGCAACAAGGATTATGCTCAGATAGCTTCTCTGTTTTCAAGTTTCACGACCAGCAATTACCTTGAAGGCTATAACAACGCTATAGAAATGTTGGATTATTTCAATTACAGCAGTAATGTGTCTGGGTATGGTTAGAAGTGCATGTTGTTTTTTTTTCTTCCCAATTCCATTAAGTGTAAGTAAAGTACATTCAAAAGGAAAACATCTTTGTATCCATTTTGTTACAATTTTAGTTATTACCCTTCTTTTATCAGTTCAACACTATTACCAGGCAACAGCTGCAAGTAAATGAGTTGCCCCTGATCTGTGTGGCAGATAAGCTGCAGTTCTTGATTAATTTCTGCTTGAAACTGAGTATATTTCTTGCTCTGAGTTCCAAATGTATGGTAGATAAGATCACCCAAATGTAGGTCCAAAAGGTACTCTCCCTCTGTGGTACAAGTTAATTTGAAGAGAAAACGCAAAACAAACTACAAACACTTGGATTTCAGCTTCTTTTGCCCTGAGGTATTGAGAGAGCTATTGGGAACAGCCTGTGAATTGAACCTCTGCCACTCCTGGCTGGGCAACGTGTTCAGAGAGATGTTTTTAATGTTTTCATTGAGGAGGTGTATAATCAATGGATATCAAGATGTTACAATCACAATATAATCAAGAGAGTTAGGCAAAGTGGACAATGATAACAAAAGAGAATAAATGGAAAGCTTACCCTTATGCTGGGCTCACCCACAAAACACCAGCAGAGGCAATCTCCAGAAGAGATCCTTGCCCACTAGTAGCCAGCTCTTAAATAGGTCTAGGAGGGATGCAGCCAGGCTCCACCCCTTCCATCACACAGCTGAATCGCCTTCACCTGTGTTCCATGGCTGACTCAGTGCTCGCCTCAGGTGATCAATCAGAGGTTCAGGCCGTGACTCAGCAGTTCCCATACAGGAGGGCATGACACACACCTCTTGAATGTCACACCTTTTCAGAGAGTTTACAGCCACCTTCTCCCCATTCCCCAAAGTATCAGTCTTTGCTAATTATTGTTCTTCCTCCTTAGGCAACAGTTAGCTAAAACTGTGCCTACTGTATGCAGTATCCAAAGTTACATCTGGACTTCCCTGCCACAAACCGGGTTTTTGCAGGTTAAGCACGTTACCAAATTGCTTAAGATGCAGTTAGTTTACTGCAAATTAACCCAAAGGATGTGCTTCAGAAGTGTCTCTCCTTAATAGGGCCAGTTCTTTGCTAAAACAATCAATGGAAGCTTTTAAAATTGGGTAGATTTGAATTTAAGAAGCAGATGGTAATTTAGCATGAACCATTTGGTTTGAGTAATATATTGGCAGTAAACGGCCCAATCAGCTTGCATTGCATTCCATCTTCCCTAGCAGTGTTATTTCCCAAAGCAGCACTTCTAAAAAATTATGTGCTTTTTTTTTCTACATGACAAGATATTGCAGGGATTTGTAGCTTTCCAAGGTAATTGAGTCTTTTTGGAACGGGAAATTTAAAAATAACAACAACAAATATTCTAGGCAGTCAAGTTTGAAGTTGGAAAATCAGTGCATTGCAGAAGTTGTGCTTTCCACTTTTTGGCACCCTATCCTAAAATTGACTGTTTGATATTTTATTACTGTAATATCTAGATAGAAGAGGTGATTTGTACAAGGAGATACTATATTTTATTAG